CCTGCCTTCCCCCCCCTCCCCTCCCGGGCAGCAGACTTCACGGGACCTGCGCCCACCCCCCACTCTGAGCCAGGGGATTTTTAACTGGCGTTCCTTGGAGATGAGGGTTGGGGGATCTCCACACAGGCTTGTCTGGCTGGGGAGGGGAGGCCAGAGGGGCGGAGGTGAGACTGGGTCGGCTCTGCGAGGCTGGGAGGGATGAGGGAGCCCTTGTCTGGTCCCCAGGGTCACAAACAGCTCCCAGGAGGAGGATAACGGAAGGATGTAGACGGGGTAGGCCCACGTGGCTGAGGAGAACGGAGTTCTGGTATGTCCTAGGGGACATGTGTAATGATCAGCGCCCTCAGGAACCATCCTTCTCTCCCCACAGCCCCCTTGAGCTCAAGCACACTCTATGGCTCCCCACTGCTGACAGCACAAGCCCAGGCTCCCCAAACACCCCCCAACCTGGCTCTGTAGTTCCACTTGGGAAACATCTCAGCTCCTAAGGTCCCAGCAGGAACCTCTGCCCTTCCCCCCCCCCGGGGGGTGCCCGGAACCTGCTGGCTGTATTCCCACCGCCACCCTCTGCACTTACAGCGCCCCTGCCTGGGTGCCTTCCCCTTCTCACGTCCCGCCCTCCTCACACGTCCAGCCCTTCCCCGAACATGCCATGTCCTTCTAGTGCCACTGAAGTCGTGCACGCTGTCCCCTCTGCCTGGAACAGCCTTCTCCGATCTGACTGCCTCCTCAGAGGGGTCTGCCCGACCACCCTCTCCCCTCCAGCCGCACTGCCCCGCCCCACTCCCTCCCCAGCGCTTCCCTCTCTCTCCAGTGATCGTGCTCATTTACACGTTTACTTGCTCTGTGTCTGCCTCCCCATCAGTCTGGACCCTATTTGTCCTGTGTGCTCTGTGAATCCGCACCCACAACCCACATGTGAAGGATTAATATTGCGCAATAAAAGCGGGTAATTCCCAGCCTGCTCTAAAACAGTGGCTTTTACCAGTTTCATGGTGACTAAGAAATTCACTTCACCGGGCAACCCATTAAACACAGGCAGAAACGATGCGAAAGGCTCCCGGAGCAGTTCTTGCTACTGCTATGCACCACCCGACCCGTACTCGCTACTCCACCCTCTTCCGTTCCATTCCATTCCAATTTCACAATCCACCAGTGGGGACACAATGCAGCCCCAAAGAGAAGGTCCCTGGTTCTGCCCCTCCCACCCCACCCCAGTTTGTCGTCCCACTCTTCTTGTCGTTCTGGGGCCCCCAACCCTTCCTCTTCATCAGGGAGCCGAGCCAGGTTGCTAAGGACAAGGAGCCATAATGAACACTCCAGCCTCCGGATCCCCAGCGGTGAGCCCCTCCGGGCCTCCTGAGGTCTCCTGTCTGTTGGCGCTGGGCCTGCCCGAGAGGAGGGGCCTGGCGGGGAAGGGAAGGGTGAGGCAGGCAGGTGGCAGCTGCCCCTCTCCCCATGGAAAGTTACAGCCCCCGCCCCCCACACCAACCTTCCTCCCGGATAACAAAAACAGCCCCACCTGTCACTGCTGGACGGCTGCGGGCTGCAGACACCATGTTCAGGTACACAGCCTCTCCACGTGATGGGGAGTCCTGCTCCCATTTCACAGATGGTGAAACTGAGGCTCGACGAAGGGGAGGGACTTGGCCCAGATCTTACAGCTCAGAAGTGGTCGAGAGGGGATTTGAAGCTAAGCAGACTCTCAAGGGGACAGAAGCCACCTCACTTCGGGGTCCCTTCCCTTCTCAAGGCCTCAGTTTCCCTTGGTGAATAGGGAGGTCTGGAGGGGGTGACCTCAAAGATTGTATCCAGATATGACCTTTGCTGGTCTCAGGTCATCAAGGTCACCCCCACCCCCCCTGGGCCATGCCATAGGGATACAAGCGGGGCTGGCTTCCGGTGCCCGCCCCTCCTCTTGGGCATCATGATCCAAACGCCACCTGGTCTTTTCCCTTCTGGGCTGTCCCAAGGTCAAGGTCGTGGCTCCTGGCTCTCATTCCCACTCCCTCAGGGCCTGTTCCTCTGCTGAAACTAGTCTGGGCGCGCAGCCGACAGGCTCACTGGGTCCCTGTCCTGGGGCTTGGATGCCTGAACCCAGGAATTTCCAGTCTTGGTCTGACCTGGGTTCCCTTCCTCCTTGAAATCCCCCTGGGAAATCCTGCCAAGTCATAAAAGAGATCCCAAAAAGGGCCATTTTGGTTAAAACAAGAGCTGAGGCCGGTTCCTGTGTGTGACTTCTCCTTATCCACCACCCTCTCCTGCCACTATCTCCGGTCACCCCAGGAGTCCCTGGAACCCAGTTTGCAAACCACAGTATTAGCCCAAAGTCCTGGTGCTAATTCAGGTGCGGCCTCTAGGGGGACTATTTTGGATAAGTGGCCTGTGCTTGCTGGAGCCTCCACGTGAGATGGGCATGGACTGGGGCTGGTGGGGGGCG